TTGCCTTACTATACTATGACATTTTTCATGCCTTACTATACTATGTCCTTTTTATGCCTTACTATACTATGACGTTTTTCATGCCTTACTATACCATGTCCTTTCTATGACTTACTATTATATGACGTTCTTCATCCCTTACTATACTATGTCCTTTTTATGCCTTACAATAATATGACATTTTTTTGCCTTGCTATAGCATGACATTTTTCATGCCTTTCTATACTATGTCCTTTTTATGCTTTAACATACTGTCATTTTTATGACTTACTTTACTATGTCCTTTTCATGCCTTACTATACTATGATGTTTTTATGCTTTACCATACTGTCGTTTTTATGACTTATGAAACTATGGTGTTTTCATGCCATAGTATACTATGACGTTTTTTATTCCTTATTATACTATAACTCTTTTTTATGCTCACTATACTATGACTTTTTTGTTTTTGCCTTACTATACTAACATATTCTTTGTTTTACTATTATACAACATTTTTTATACCTTACTATACTATGTCCTTTTCATGCTTTACTATACTGTCGTTTTTATGACTTACTATACATTGGTGTTTTCATGCCTTAGTATACTATGACGTTTTTATTCCTTACTATAACGTGATTCTTTTGTAAGCATTACTATACTATGATGTTTTTATTCCTTACTATACTATGACGTTTTTCATGCCTTACTATACTATGTCCTTTTTATGCTTTACTATACTATGACGTTTTTATGACTTACTATTATATGATGTTCTTTATCCCTTACCATACTATGGTGTTTTTATGCCTTACAATAATATGTCCTTTTTTTGCCTTACTATACTATGACATTTTTCCTGCCTTTCTATACTATGTCCTTTTTATGCTTTACTATACTATGTCCTTTTTATGCCTTACTATACTATGGTGTTTTCATGCCTTAGTATACTATGATGTTTTTATTCCTTACAATACTATGACTTTTTCATGCCTTACTATGACATTTTTTATGCCTTACTATACTATGGCGTTTTTATGCCTTACAATAATATGACATTTTTTTGCCTTGCTATAGTATGACATTTTTCATGCCTTACTATACTATGTCCTTTTTATGCTTTACTATACTATGTCCTTTTTATGCCTTACTATACTGTTGTTTTTATGCCTTACTATACTATGACGTTCTTTATGCCTTACTATTATATGATATTTTTTATGCCTTACTATACTATGTCCTTTTTATGACTCACTATTATATGACGTTCTTTATCCCTTACTACACTATGGCGTTTTTATGTCTTACAATAATATGAAATTTTTTTGCCTTACTATAGTATGACATTTTTCATGCCTTTCTATACTATGTCCTTTTTATGCTTTACCATACTGTCGTTTTTATGACTTATCAAACTATGGTGTTTTCATGCCTTAGTATACTATGACGTTTTTTATTCCTTACTATAATATGACATTTTTATGCTTACTATACTATGGCGTTTTTATGCCTTACAGTAATGAAATTTTTTTGCCTTACTATACTACGGTGTTTTCATGCCTTAGTATACTATGATGTTTTTATTCCTTACAATACTATGGTGTTTTTATGACTTACTATCTATCTTATGTCGTTTTTTATGCCTTAATATACTATGATGTTTTTTTAAGCCTTACTATGCTGTCATTTTTTATTCCTTACTATACTATGACTCTTTTTTAAGCATTACTATAGTATGATATTTTTATGACTAACTATACTATGACGTTTTTATGACTAACTATACTATGACATTTTTATGATATTCTATACTGTCGTTGCTATGACATTTTTATACCTTACTATACTATACTGACTTTTTATGCCATATCATACTATGACGCTTTTATGACTTACTATACTATGTTGTTGCTATGACATTTTTATACCTTACAATACTATGAAGATTTTATGCCTTACTATACTATGATGTCTTTATGAGGTTTTTTATACCTTACTATCCTATAACTTTTTATACCTTACATGTTGTCATTGTTGTTATCAACAATGAGCTAATGGACATATGAATTTCCCCTTGGGGATAAATAAAGTATCTATCGATCTGTCTGTCTGTCTGACTTTTCTATGCCTTACTATACTATGGCATTTTTTTTTAAGCCTTAATATACTATGACATTCTTCATGCTTTACTATACTGTCGTTTTTTTATGCCTTACTATACTATGTCTCTTTTTATGACTTAGTACACTATGATGTTTTTTACTCCTTACAATAATGTGACGTTTTTATGTCTTACTATACTATGACATTTTTATACCTTACTATACTATGTTGATTTTATGACTTGCTATACTACGTAATTTTTTATGACTTACTATACTATGCCATTGTTTATAAGCTTGTATATGGAAGGTATTGTGCATTTTATGACTAAAGCATGAAACTTTCTCCAGTGTTTCTATCAACCATGAAGTTCATTTTCCGACGTGGAGGCATTCCAAATGTTACTTCTAGGACAAGGCATTACTCCCCTGGAGTAATGAGTGTGGTCCAGTCCAAACTAGCATGCTAGATTCTGATTAGAATGTTCACTAATGTGCTACCTTGACATGTAATTCCATAGAACACACAACAGAAGTTGTCAGTGTTTTTAACAAGCTATAGCTACCTTAACACCTGGAAATGGTGGGGTCTGCAGTCCCCCTGCAAAATTGGTGCTCTAAGCAAAATTATGGTACATGGCCACAGCAGCAAATATGCATCTTTATGCAATTTTGGAAAAGATATACATGATTATCATGGAGAAATGGGGCAAAAACTGGAAAAATTCAATGCTGAGGTCAATGACCTCCCAAGGTTACCAGAGGTGAGATACAAATTGCCTCCCGGTCTGAAATAAAACTTTGGGGTATGTAGATCATATGCTGAAATTTTCATGCTTTAGTCATAAAATGCACAATTGTTTTGCCTACCTGCCCCACTACAATCCCCAACTCTGTTCAGGATCCTTTGTGTTTGGACAGTCTTAAAGAGGGCTTTCACTAGTACATCTTTACTCTCTTACATCCAGAACTCGAGGACCCTCACTCGACAAGCCCCCCCCCCCCCCTTATGGACACTGGCCCCTGTCTGGCCATCCTCTCTCCTTCTCAGCCCTCCTGCCCTCCTCTCCTGTGGCAGGTTTAATTACAGGATCAGCGCTCAGACTAATCTCCTCAAAGCCACGGCTGCTCCTTCATCCTAATCCAATTATACCTGCACTGTGTCACCACTCCCTCTCTGATGATTTATCATCAAAGATTTAAAGAGGACCCATTTTCATTCATTTGAAAGATTCAAATACAAATGGCCATGTAATTTCCACTGATTCCTGCAATTAAATTTAACTTATCCTGAATAAACTACTGAGGGGTGGTTAAATCTGAGAATATCATAGCATTGATTTGACATCTTTTCACTGATGAAACCGGCAGAGAGGCACGACCAGTCTACAGCCTCGTATCACTGTTAAACGTCAGCAGGTACAATGAGGACTAACGAGACAAAATAAATCAGCTCTCCCAATTAAGAGTAAAAAAAACCCAAAACAAAACAAACAAAAAAAAAACTCGCCTCTCCTCATCAGTGACAGGGGACGGGGGGTCTGGCAGATGTAGGGGGGGGGTTGGTGGTGGGTGGGGGTGCAGAATATGTACTAATTGGATGATCAGTTAAGCAGTTAGGGGAGCACATTCTTGCAGGGCTTTGACCGATCTCCTTAGAGCACTGAGTGTAGTGAGGAAGCAGCTCTCGGTCATCACCACATCTTCTCTGAGGAAGAGAAGAAAGAGGATGCAGCCTCAGAAAGGAATCTTCCTCTTCTGGCCGCACGTGCCTCATTACAGCTCAACCCCCTCTTTGGCTCAACAATGACGAGGTCAGCTTTCTTATGTCTGCACATTTGTTCACCCGTGTCTCTTCCTCTTCGTCCACGTTCCACCCAAATTGCTTTGTCTAGTTGTACCTCTGTCTCAGTCCACTCCCTGTCTGACCAATGATTGGCTCCTCAGAATGAGAAGAATAAAGTCAGGACACGTGTTATTAAAAACCCTGAATGCAGCACATAAAGGAACCAGGGCCGACAAGCCGACTCTGTGTGCCAATTAGGTGATAATTAATGGAGTGGTGGTAATGATGCTGCAGCGGCGTGCCGGCAGCCTCCATTTACTCTAGCTGAATGCTGCGGCGTGCTGGAAGTCCAAGCCTAATTGAAGCTGCAGCTAACGGCTAGAGATTCTTCCTTTGATGAACCGGTTGGCAGGGAGCGAGCTCACTGTTACTTTTGTACAGGCATCGTGCTTGACTAACGTTGGCCTCTGCTCGCTAAGGAAAGGTCAACATAAATACAGAAGGGCCCTTTGCAGAGAGAACAATAAATAATATGAATAATGTGAGCAGCGGAAGCAGAAGTTGTTCTAAAAGAATAAGTTAATCATGTTAGTCGATTCTTTGCAAAGGAAACATAATTGATTATATGCCACAGAATTCCGTGTTTATCCTGTTTGTTTCTTAGCAGGGTGCCTGAAAAACATCTTTCAAATCAAGCTTTCTGTTCAATTTTTCATTACACACAGATTCCTTCTACCATCACATATCAACAAATCTTCAACAGTAGACATGGCAACCTCCTTCCTGCCATTTTTTTTTTCATACTATTGTCTCCTATTACATACAGTACCAAAAATCTCAAAAACCTGTCAACAAATTTCTGTGAAATTTTGTGTAGCTTTGGGCAGTCAGCTCTGGAACAAGTGATGCATTTTTGGTGTGGACCTGGATCCAAAAATCTGCACCTGGAAGGATTTCTTAAACTTTTTCCCCTAACCATCACAGCCCCTCAAGTTTTTTTTTAAACTCACAGTGCTGTTTTTGGCCTAAATGCCCAGTAACTTAAATATTAATAATTCAGGACCTTTATAATTTATGAAGTTATTGAGTGTTCATTAAGATTCTGCAGCCTGTAGCAGAGGTATTTTTACCTTGACAACTTGTCAAACATATTGACCAGTTTTTGTGCTTCATACTCCTTCTGCTCCTCCGTCATCTCTTCAATGGGGTTCGGCATTGGCTCCTCCACATGACCAGTGATGAGGTTGATGCTGAAAAAGAAGATGAGTAAGCTTAATTTACTGCTGTGAATGAATGAATACGTTATCAGTGCATACACAAATAGAGGGGCACTCAGAGGGCACAGATTTCTGCCAAGGCCAATGACAAATAACATTCACCAGACTTCCAAATTCAAATATATAATTTAATGGGTTCTTCCCTTGGCCCATGCCCCATCCCTCCACCAAGTTCAGTGCAAATGGTTTTACTTTGGTAATGGTAGTATGTTTGTAAAATCTTGTTGACAAATAAACAGACACAGGTGAAAACAAAAGCGCCTTGGCAGAGGTAATAATAACATCAGATTGTCAGCACTGTATTCTAAGCCCTGGGCAGATTTCTCACAAGGGTTTGGCTGACTTGTATTCTTCTGTGTCTGAGTCTTCATCTTCAGAGTACTGCGTCTCTCCTCTTCCTCCTCCAAGAAGTCCACGAGCCACCAGGAGTCCTGCTGCATTTCCATATCCTGTGTACTTCAACAGGTTGTCCACTGGAAGATGAAACCACAAACACACAAGGGTGTGACATTATATGTTCATGTGTGAGGATGAGCCAAGCTGTAGTTATATGTATGCAGGAGCCATGCATCTGCCAATTTCATCAACTGCACCCAACTACAGATATTATTCCTGCTCTCTCATTCGTTCCTCCCATGACCCCACCACTGCTTGACCCCTCTTACCGCTTTCTTTGCAGAGAACAAAGAGAAACTCTGCAGCCGTCTGCTTCACGCCCATGTCCACATGAGTCATAAGGCGAACCAACTTGTTTCTGATGGTGGTGCCAATCTCTGGCCTGATTTTCACATCTGTCAGCGGGGGAAGTACCTGAAGATGCAGAGATATTCAATAGTTCAGATTATTGTTTTTCTGTCACTATAAGTAAGATGTGAAACCTATTAATTGGTTAATGAACACACACACTATAACAGCTATAAGGTTAGCATCCTGTTGAGGTTTCAATACTTTACTCAGACAATTTAGACAAGGCACCAGAAATGCTACAGACTTTATCGATATCTGTGTTTAAATCTGTTGGCAGCTACTGTACCTGAGCTTTGATATATCTGCGGATCTCTCTGTGGTGTCTGGATCCTTCAGTCAAAAGGCTGAGCACCGGAGTGAGCCCCTCTTTGTAGTTGGAGCCCTGCTTGGAGTGACACAGTCCACAAAACACTTCACAAGCTGAACGATCTGAAACACTGGTTAAATGTCATGCACACACAAATAATATGAAGGTTAATGAAGTAAAGACAGGATGGGTAGATGAGAAACTGAATGATATGCAGTAAGATGTGTGAAGACGAGAGTAAGTGTACAAATCTGCTGTGAAGAGCATAATGATGTACTAGCTGTAAGACACATTGTATGTCACTATGATGTCCCTGGTCCTGCCAGGGATATTTGCCATGTGTCAATATGTCTCTCTCCTCAGGCTTCATGTCTGTCTTCCACTTTTAAATAAAAAAATAAAGCAAATTGTCACAAAGATGTGTGCCAAGGCTCGCTGCATGCGAGTGTACCTATGTTTAAAATGTATGGATCTTAATTTACATGTAAGCTCAAAATGTTTCTGACGTGTTCTGTACTGTCAATTACAACAGGTGTAAATTTATTTTGGTACTCCAGTACACTTACACTACAATGTAGGATACTTCATCACTGTTACAAGTTTTTTTTTAAAGGATATATCAAAGTTTTAGATGAATTATCAACAATATATTAACATGTAATGTCTCTTCAGTGGGTAAACTATGCAGTCCTCTCTCTTTGCAGCAGAGGATGAATTTTACCTTGTCAATCCTTTTCTCCATGAAGTCTAGTAACACCTGAACTGCATCCATGTTTTTCCCACCATATTTATCAAGTCCTCCCTGGACAGGCACGTCGATTAACACATCCAGGCAGGACACAGGCAGGTTGTTAAGCAAGTTGACGGCATGGCTGGGGATAAAAAAGAAATTTTAATTATGTAAACCTTTTACCGTACTTACAGGATAAAATCATCAGTTTTTTCTGAGATGGAGCTGCCAAAGGGTCTGGAAGGGTTGAAGAGGTCAAAGTCTAAAAACTGAGGTTTAAGTAGTAAAGAGGATGATTAACAGATGAAAGCGTTGGAACAACAGCTTTTGAAAAGATGAAAGCTCTGGAGCAGTTTACCTAAGAAGAGTTGTTCCAAAGTCAAGAACCCCTGATGGCAAAGGACCAGTCACCTCTTGCTTTTAATCTACATTTTGGAACAGCTGATGGGGAGCTGCCAGATGACCTCAGGGTGCGGTCTGGCTCACGTGGGGTAAAAAGGGCTTTCAAAAATAATTTTTCTAACACACATCTGTGCCACATTGTTTAATCTACACAATCCTACGTTGTCCAGACAGCAACTTAAAGGGACATAAAGTTTTATATTCAGTGTGGTAGAGAGACATTATTCTTTTACTCTCTCTCTCCTCGTACTTCTTGCATGTCTCCACTGTTATTGTCCAATAAATGTATTAAATGCCCCAAAAAGGAGGGAAATCCTTAAATAAACCAGAAAATAACAGAAACTAAGAGTAGTATATAATATTAATGTAAGCCCAATTTGTTGAATTTTGAGCGAAACAATTTTTGATTTCCCCTACAAACATTCAGAGGAGACATTTGTCTCTATATAACTGGATATGTGGGTGGTTTAGAATTTTATCTCATAAACTGCTGGTGGATTCATCAAGGCCACCAAGAAGATCTGAAATTCTATTTTTCAGTCTAAAAATGTATTTTACCATTGTTAAAGAGGGCCTTCATTGGCCAATAAGAGTTAATTGATAATAGAATGATGCCATCTGAATTAAAAAAAACCTCAACATATTAATGTAACTAAATCACATTTAAACAAACTACAACTACGTTATGTTGGTCAGTGGGTCAAACTCCCATGACCAGTTCAGCCACCAGCTTGACAGGTCAAGAGGAACATCAGTCACTTTTACATGACACTGTTTAAATTTCAGTCTGTGGCCACAGATTCTTGGCATTCCTGCATTAAATTACCATGAGAATAACATACTGCTGCACTACTACGACAGCTAAAAGCCTTTAGGAGATAAAAGAACCTACAAGGCACCAAAGAAAGATCTTTGTTTTGCCTGATGCATTTTCCCACGACACCGCAGTCTGCCACCATCAGCTATCAGTCTTAATGTGTAGTGAGCTGCTAACTCACAGCTGCTCAGTGGACACTCAGCGCTTGTCCAGAATCGGTGCTTACATGCAAATCACAGCAGGTGATTTTCCAATGCCGAACATGGATCTTTTGCTGGAAGGTTGTGGAAGTAGTCTGTAGTCTGTGTGTTTTTCTATGCAAATCAGTTTCAAATGGCTTGGCTCAACAGCAGCATTCTTGTTAAACACACAATCACCAAATATAGAGATGAGGACACATGTTCACAAACTGCAAGCTACAAAACATAGAAGCATCATGGGACGGTATTCATTTCATGCTTGTTATGTGCCCTTTCACAGGTCTATATTCAATGTTGTAGCTTTCCCACCTGTGTGCTTCCTCTGTTTTCTCCTCCGTCTCAGTCTTCAGCATCAACAGATGACGCAGAATGGCAGCGATAAGTCGGAACTGGTGGTCATCCTCCTATTAAATCAAGGATGAACAAAAAAATCAACTCTAAGCAAACTGTTTCATTGGTCTGACAAAAAACAAACCAATAAGGTCAGACAAGCTTAAACTACAAGGACAGGAGCCTGGAAGCAAAGCCTAACTGCAAAAAACACTTGTATATTTAAAGACGCATTAAAACCACTCTAAAGGCAGATAAGAGCAGAGCACAGAGGCAGTCTGAGGTGAAAGCTTTTTCTTGGGATTCAAAAAAAAGGGAGGAGAAAGAGGACGTTCAGACTTCTAAAACAACAAAGAGGAGAGAAGGGTCACATATGAGCCTAAGAAGTAAAAATACATTAAGTCATTGACACTTACACTGTGTTAGAGGCTGTCTTTGTGGTCATGTGTCCATTTCAATCCAAATTGCATGAAATACGGCAAGCATGTTTGAAATACCTTCTTAGACAAGACTTCCAAGTCTTTATACTGATTTTCAGCTGTAACTACAAACTCTTACACTATAACTACATCAATCACAACTTAAGTACATTAGATTTTACATGAGAAAGTAAAATAAGAGGAGAGCATTTTGGTGAGTGCAACCTGTCTAATCATGTCTGTGATTTCCAGTTAGTCGTGTGTTTTGTGATAAAGTGAAACTATTGCAAAACCAGTTTCATATGGAAACATATAAAGGGCTTGTATGAAGCTGATTTTACTTCTTCTTTTTTTAAAAAAAAGGGGCTCAGTGGTGGAGACACTCATGGGGTTGGTGCTTCCTAAATGAACCTCAACTTCTCTTTGTAGACATTTTGAGTTGTCGTAGATGAAAAAGCACAGCCGCAATTAATAACATTAATGAGGCACTTACACCTTAGAATATTCATACAGACATACAATATTCAACACACACACACACACACACACACACACACACACACACACACACACACACACACACACACCTGATATTAATTTCACCACTAATTGACCTGGCCCTTAAAGTGCCACACTGGTCAAAGTTGTGTATAAACCTAATGTGTAAGCTGTTATCTTGAATTGCAATGTTTTAATCAAGTTGCTCCACATTTTATGTCACATTTCAATTTCCGGGATTCAGCTGATGTGCTAAGTCGTTGACAGTAAATTAGTAATGAGAGGATGAGTGTCTTCCTCAGAAAGATGTGAACAGGGCAAATGTTTAGTGATAGATGTAACTTGGGATTTATGATCCTAGTGGTCTAGAAAAGTCTAATCTGTAATTGAGCAAATGACTGAGCCAGAAACATTTACTTTAGCATTCTTCATCCCTCCTGACATACTTAAAACAACTTATACCCGTGATGAATGACGTGCAATGTGAACCTTTAATGTAACATACACACTCTTACAGTAAACACATAACCACAACACACTCACCTCACCACCAGCGTCAGACAGTGTCAGGTTGAACAAGGCCTTGAGTGCTTCCATTGCTCGCTCATTGTCCTCTGCCGGCATGGGTAGGGCCTGTGGATCTGGACTGGCAGCTTCATAGGGGCCTACCCAGCGCACATCCAGGGTGTGCTCAAGGACCTCTGTCAGTAGTCTCACCGCATGCCATTCTCTCCTCAAAACCCCTCTAACATCAGGCCGCAGGGCAGACAGCAGGAAGAGAAGGCGCAGTGTGAACAGGCCCACCTCATGGTGCCATGTGCGGGCTGTATGCAGGCTGGTACACAGGCCATGAGCCAGCTGCACATCTACACTAACCTGCTGAGCTGCAGGACTATTGTAAACCACATTGCATAGGCACTTCAAGGCCTCCACCACCACCCTCTCCTCCTCCTCTGACTGTGTGTCTTCCTGAGAGCTTTTCTGGTTGTCCCCACCTTCCTCTCCAGCATGCAGCCTCGCCATCCCCCCAAGAGTCAGCATGCCTTCCCTGGTGGCTACAGGTGCGAGGACACGCTTGTCTCTGGACAGGATGCGGAGTGTCTCCAGACATGTCCTCTGACAGCTAGGCTGCACCTGCCTCCCAAGTACTGACAACACACTCTGACACAGCTTCTGAAATGGCACAGACAGAAAAACATTCATTACAGCTAAACAGGACTACCTTGATCATTTAATAACAACCTACTCAGATAAATATTACTTACACTCCGCAGGGCTTCTTCCTTTTGGTCAAAAGTGAAGGTGTGGCAGTTCTGAAACAGAGACAATACACATTGCTGACACGGATACACCCATATTAAACGTGCTTTATTACAAATATTTGGTGTAGGTTTATCTTATCATAGTTAACATTGCTGTTTAACTCTACGTGCATAAACCTGGTTTGTAAGTAGGCAGCATTAGCATCCTCAGCACTACGTGGGTGTTGTAAACAACATATAAATGTCCTGTCAGGCTCATTCATAGTTTTGCTGGTGATATGTTTATCGACGCAACATTAGATATCACACGACAGGGCCACTATCAGTTTAGTTCGCTATCAAGATGTTTAGCTAACTCAAAGCTAGCATAGCTGTTCGGCTAACTAGCTAGCGTTAGCTCTACCGTTTGTTTTGGTTGACGTAAAGAAAAACGAGCAGAGCCGCGACTCACCTCTCGATTATACTGCTGCAGAAGCTTCTCAATTTCTTCTTCGTTGGCACTTTCAAGCTGCGACAAGATATTATTCAAATCCATGGTGGATATCTGAAGAAAACGGATAGGCAGCTTGGTTTTGACGTTACCAATGAGCGTTGTGCAGCTAGCAAGCTAGCTGACAGGCTAGCCCAGAGAGTGTGTGTGTGTATGTATGTGTGTGTGTGTGTGTGTGTGTGTGTGTGTGTGTGTGTGTGTGTGTGTGTGTGTGTGTGTCACGTCTGCTGCTGTCAACAGGGAAACTCCCCTCCACTGTCTCCATCACCATCAGGTCCATCCTGCTCTCCGCTGGGTTTATTTAGTGTAGTGCAAATGTACAACATCTTTACACTCACATATTCCAGCCAACAGTCAGCTGGTTATTATAAACTGCTGCACAAAACACCAGATATCTAATCTGTAACATGCACACTAAATACACTCATAATTTGACGCATGATCGCCTCTTTTCCAGCCAGGACACATGTGACCTATGCATGTATGTAACCAAACGCCATATGTGGTCCCTATGTTATTTAAAAAGGTCAAATAATCAAAGGTCTGAATCAGCATGCGGGTACATAAACAAATAAACATGCACAACAGTCAAATTTATTAGTTAATCATTTAAAGCAAGAAAAGTAGACACATGAATATGAGAATCAAGGCTCATGTTATGTAATATGAAAATGGAGCAATTTAAAAGCCAGTTAATCTTATACAGAATGTTATAATATGTCCCTGCACCTGAGGTTTTATAAGTAACCTATATATAATATTACTATAACTTCTTATGTTTGTTTAACTCCTTTTGTTGCTGAAACTGGCATTGCCTGTGAAACTGACTTTGACTCTGATTCAAAAGCGATTCTTTAATAAACAATTTCAGCAGTTACTTGCAGGATATTAATTTGGATGAGAAAAAATGCTACTTCATACTAAAATTCATCTTATTGTTTTTTTGAATTTGAAAATATAAGAATGTATTTTATATGACAGTGAGTGAGGCAGTGATGCAGCAGATGTTTGGAAAGTCCATCAGGATCTTTGGAAAAAGAAAAAAAAAACATAAAAATATAGCTGGGCAGTTTCATACAGACTCAGACTTGCTGTAACCACTTATGTTACTCTGTGGAAAAAAAATCTTCTTAGTTACTTACTTTGATGAATCAATGCCACTTTGACACCATATCATTAAGTGAGATCATGATATATGTTTGCTGAAGCTGCCTCACACTCCTGGGTTTGAACATCAGTTGTTGACATTCACAGTGAATTGGAGACTTAAGTATTAAGTGTGAGTGTGAATGTATCTGTATTTCTGCTAATAATTGTTGCTGCAGGCTGCACATACAAATGATACATTATATAAAAATATAAACTGAGTTTAAAAATATTAACCTAGTGTGAAATCCAGAATTAGATCAATTGTAATCTAACACAATACATTTCTTACTTAAAAAAAACCAAACAGAATAAATGCACTTACACTAAATCAATATGCTGTGCATTTATTTGATAGCATTTTAAAGCACACGATGTCAAAGATGAAACCTACTTGTCTGGCAGTACTTTTCTCACAGCTGACAGTGTCGTCCTCGTGCACACCCACACTCACCAATCTTCCTCTTAAATCCTCAGCGGATATTGATATTGACACTCAGGTCAGGTAATTAAATCCCAATGAAGGTGGCCCTTTTTTTTTTTTGGCTGTAAACAAGTTTTCTGCATTCAAAGTCTCACTTGTGCAGGATTTCAGAGAGACATAACACAGAGGATCTATGTTCCAATAAATACAAACCTTGGCAGGGGTCAGGGGTCAAAGGTTATGGGACTGAGGTACAATGACCCCAGCACAGCAGGACATTCTCTCTATTGAAATGTAATTCTTTCTGCAGTGTGGCCCCTGTGCTACTGGCACAACCCCCCACTGGGTTGTCACTGGGGTGCATGGAGAGAGAAATAAAACTCAGCTCAGGGGACTTCAGAAAACGTTTTTCCTTTTCAACATCAAAATGTATTTTAGGACTCTGAGTGAAGGCTCAAATTAAATGATCTATTTTCATACGCCAACACGTCAGAAGTTATAAAGTCAAAAACATTTAACAGATTATATTCAAGCATAGAAAGTATAAACAGAGCACTACTTAAAGGATCAATGTAATTCAAGACTTTGTTCCAGTGTCGACACTAATTATGATTATTAAAAAGATCCACTAATGCGTTGACCATTTGGTTTACATTTGGACACTTTTGTGCATCATTTTGTGCATGTTTCCAAAGACAGTATAAAGAAATAGAGAACAGAATACGGAGAATAGAGAAAGAAGATAATTTGACAAAGATGACTCATGTTTTAGATTGTGAAATTATTTATGTGGCAACATTTTTCCCACATACACATCAGTTTCAACTGTGATAGTTTAACAGTCACCACAAACGGTTTCCAGTGCTTTTATTTACAGAAAAGTGACTAGACTTCATGTTACTGTACACTTTGATATTTTCCCTTTTTATAAATACCCATAGGGTAATAGGTCCTCAGTAGCTTTGAGTGCATTATAAAACACACAACCCTAGGTTAATGCGTCCTTTACTAACCATACAAAACAGAGAACAAAGTACCAATTGTAACATAGAAAATAAAGGATACACCATGTTACAAAGTTACAGAAAATACATACTATATATATATATGTTGTCACAGGAAAACAGCAGAAGCTTGGGACAGAATATACTCGCACAGTTGTTTGAGTCACAGCATTCAATCATTAAAAAACACACTATCCAAGATAAAGACACCTCAACACACAGATCAAGGTCTTTCATGACTTTATATCTGTCACTTATGATGTTTTGGCTTTGTGCCACTGTGTGTAACTGGTGTCCCAGGAGAAGTTTAAGGCAGTGCAGTTCATTATCATCCTGCAGCAGACTGAGGTTTATCGGCTGCAGCGAGCTCACGCCAGGATGCTGCACAGTGCTGAGCTACTAGAGGAGACAGTGGTGTCACTGAGATTGTACTGGTGTTCGTAACCGCTCGCAACACACTGATCCATCAGACACAGACATTACTGACTGACGGTTGGTGGGATGATGTGTGCGCTGACTTGTGAGACTGACGAGGGAAACTCTGGCAGAGGTGTACATTCCTAAAAACAAAGGCACAGCTTGGCAGCAGCATTGCACTCTTCAAATGATTTTGCTGCAGGTTTTGACAATCTGTATGATTTCATATTTTTTCTTCCATCAATTGTTGAAGAATTCTTTTTTAACAAATTACACCGCAGTCGTCAGTGTGATTGACGTCTTTTCAAATTGTCAGTACGTCCATACCATGATTGCTATTACCTTGCATTGGTACTCTCCACTCTCTGCTCCTCCTTATTTGATGTACTTGATTGGAAGTGTTCAAAGACTTTGCATCCACCGGTTTGGCAGGCCTGGAGCTTGTACATGGCTTTCCAAATCATTGTTTAAAGGCTATTTCGCCCAGCCTGTGGTGGCCTCTCCATTGATGTAGGCAAAGCCGGGGAAATGCTGTGAGTGTTCGTACTCTGAGTTCCTGCGTGGTCCCAGGGGAGAGTACATGTCCCCAGAGGTGGCATAGCGGGATGAATGCATAGGTGGGCTGGTGTAACAGCTGTTAGCCGGTGACACATCTGGCCACCGGGGGGCGACAGGTGCGGGGTGCAGCCGAGGAGTGCTGCCCATCAAGCAAGGCTCCATCCGAGACATCTGGCCGTTGAGCTGGTACTGTAGAGAAGTGGAGAGAAGTTAGTGATGCAGTACAGGCATCTTCTGAGAGAACCATAATATATACAGTGAAAAGATCAGAGCTGCAACTACCAGTTATTTTATAGTTATTTACCAATTCATCTGCTGATTATTCATTCGATTAATCATTAATCGTCAGAAGATGAAAAAATGCCCATTATAATTTCCCAAAGCCTAGAATGATGTATTTGGATGTCTTACTTTGTCTAACAAACCATCTAAAAACCCAAAGACGTTCAGTTTAATAAGACCAAGAAAAGCATCAATTCAGCAGATTTGAGAAGGTGGAACCAGGTGGAAACGTTTTGCATTTTGTTTGAAAAGCGATTAAAACTATTAACTTATTATTAAAGCCAGTAGCCAGGTAATTCATCTTAGCTTAGCACAAAGACTGGAGACAGCTAGCTTGGCTCTGTCACAGAAAAGAAATAGTTTTAGCATATAACCTCTAACATGGCAAATTGTTATTGTCATTGTCACTTTGGTTTTTCCAGTCTCTTGTGCTAAGCTACACCAACTGGCTGCAGGCTGTAACTCTAATCTAGCAAATAATCACATTTGGCAAAATGTTGAACTATTTCTTAAATGAACGTTTACATGATGTCCAGTAATAAACTGGCGCAAAATTACTGAATTGTTTATTCATTAACTCGTCTTAACTGTAGTATATAAACTCGAGTTGCTGAAACCCCCAAATTCCCAGAACATTTACAGAGGACATGACCTTGGTGTCCTCAGAGGTAGCTACAGCCCTGCTGCTATCATATTGATGCTGTGTTAACCATGTGGCATTGGGTGTGAACTGACCCTGCCAATGGTAATTTCCTGTCAGGGGAAATTGCTTCACAAGTTGTACCAGACTGGTCAAAATAGAAAAATTAAGCCACTTAAGAAAATTAGACATAAGCTGTAAAAGAGGTTTTCCAGTGGGTTTTTTTTGTCGCCTATGGTGACTGGCCACAAACAGGCCTGATGAAATCTGCCTGTTGATAAAAATAAATTGAACAGATGGTGATCCGACAAAGTTGTCTGTTCGTTTCAGCTCAATCTCCAACCTCTCACACGGACAAAGCTCAGGCTTTGTGCCCGATTTAAGCTCAGACGGGCTTAAAAAAAAAGTGGAAGTAGGACCCTTTTCCCTTTTCTCACTAAATATAAACATGACAGTCGATTCCATTATGAGGGATCACGGCATGGAAAAAGACAGTCAGTGCAGGTCAGAGAGCAGAACAGACAGCTCAGCTGCCTCTTGTTCACAAGCAGAAAAGAGACCATTGAATAACAATATTTTAATAAATGCCCCCTTGCCCTGCTCTGTGGCTACTGGCTCAAACAGATGAAGAGACTATTGAGAGCTGGCAAGAGGAGTAACAGAGCAGGGCC